GCATCGGCCTTGAGGACAAGTTTGTTGAACTTGTCACCAACAAGGACCAAGAGAACAACTTCAAGCTTGGCTGGTACGTCTTGCTGAACCCTGGTCCTGGTGAACAATGGCAAACACCCGAGGATCGCGCTGCACGAGAAGCCGAGTTCTTTTCCCGTGGTAAATGGTCGACTCTTCCTCCTGACATGTGGGGTATCGGTGCCCTTCGTGCCAAGTTGAGCACTCAGCTCCAGCGCCACATTGGCAAGCACGTCAAGACGTTGCGCCGCCAGATCCAGCAAGCCTTGGAAGGATGCGAAACCCAACTCAAGGCTATGGGCGTCGGCAAAGACACCCCGGAGGAGATGCGTTTCCAGATGGGTGAGCTCTTTACAGCATCCAACAACCTCGTTACCCCTGCGGTGAACGGTAACTACAAGAACCCCTTTGGTGAGCGGTTCTTTGCCAGACAGTCAAGTCCCAAGGGCACACCATCCCAGAAGCTCCGTGCTCGCATTCGCGATGAGAGTGATCGTTTCGCAAAGCGGTTGCGACAGCACGGTCGTAAGGTGACTTTCCAGCCCAGCCCGCCTGCTGGTGCCAACGGAGCCAATGGCGCAGACACAAACAGCACTCCTCTCCCCCCAACCGCCGGCGATCGCAGCAAAAAGGACTTTGCCGAATACGAAGTCGAACCTCTTCTTCGACAGATCCGGGGTAACGAACTCCCTCTGGACTCGAACCCCCGTGCACCTTATATCCTTTTCCAGGATTACTCGAGGAACTGGCCTGTCCTGGCGCAAGAGTACAAGGATAATGTTGGTGTCATTTGCAACGAGTTTCTTGCCGATGTCATTGATCACATTTGGCCCATACGCATGCGCGATCCTCTTCGCATGCATTTCCTTGAACTAAGAATGAAGGAGTTGTACGAAAGTGCCGACACCGAGCTTGGTCATCTCACCGACGACATGGAACTCGAGATTCAGCCCTTTGATCCCGAGTACGAGGAGCGTCTTCGCAAGTGGCGCGCTGAAGCTACCGAGAACGGCGGGACCTACACTGAAGCTGAGGAGGTCTTGGAGAAGATGCTTATCTACTACGATCTTACCGCACGCATCTTTACTCGCAACGTCATTACGCAAGTCGTCGAGCGACACCTCCTTCTCGGTATGCTGCGTTTGTTCAATCCTATTGAGATTCTTCGCATGCAAGACTCCACCATCGAGGCTATTGCCGCCGAGAACAAGGAGACCCGCGACCGTCGCAAGACCCTCCAAGCTCAGAAGAAGGCTATTGAGGAAGCCAAGGCCATTTGTGCCAGTCTCGCTATGCGAAGCGAGTTGCGCGCATACGAGGATGACCCAGATGACGATACCCAGACCGATGACGATGAACAGACGGCTCGAGTGACTCGTCGTCAAGTTGGCGCCCCCCAGAATGCCACACTCCAGAATGGTACACAAGGCGGGTTGCTACAAGCACAACCCGCTCAGCAGCCAACCCGTACCTCTCAAGAGTCTGTGCGTAGATCAAACCGCGACAGCCGTGATGATCGCCAGGAGCGTGAGGAGCAGCGATCAAGCAGACCTCCCGTCCCAACCCAGGACTCTTACCAAAACGGCTACCGACAAGAGCCCAGCCGTGATTGGGAGCCAGTGTACCATGCCCAGCAGGCCCAGGCTCAGCAAGCCCAGCATGGACATGCTCCTCCTCCCCCACCACCCCGTCCATCAAAGGTCGGCCTAGGAGATGCTGATGGTTATTACGACAATACCCGCCGCCAGGACTCGTACAACGACAGCCCTGGACGAAGCGAACGCCGAGAAGGTGCGCGACATAGACTTGCGAATGCCATGCGAATGGGAAATTAAGACATTACAGATAAGAGATTGGCGTTGGGAACGGGTTACTGATATCCTTTGTAATGAAGCGATTATGATTGGTTACGGGCAACTATTTAGATAGAGTACAAGAGAATGAATGACTCGCTTATGGCCACATTTATCTTAACCTGTGACTCCCAGCACAATGACTCGCAATGGTTTCATGTGTGTCACTTGGCGGTTCAAGATCAGCAACCATGACATGATCTAAAGTGCAATTGGAAGCTTCATTATAGAAATAATTGATAAAAACATTAAAGGGTATTGACATTGAAGAACGTTAAACAAAGAAAACCAGATAGCCCATCACTTTAATATCGTACCCCGTCGGCCACGACGTAGGACCCGGAACCAGCGGCAGCTTCAACATCCTTCTTGGTATCCTTGTCCTTCTTCCAAGAAGACTCATAATACACCCTAGTCTCATTCTTGACTTGGATGCCGTATCCTGATGCGTTGGTAGGATTGCTACCCGGTCGATCATCTGCGCAACTCGTGACAACGGTGTTGCTCTGACCACCACGCTCAGGGTAGGTGTGAAAGTCCATGTCGCCCGATGACCCATCTTCGAGTCCAGCCAGTTCTCGCTGTGAACTGTTGTCGTCGACATCTTTTGTGCGGTTGATGTGGGTGAGCTTGATGCCCTTGCTGCTGGTCAAGCCGCTGATAGGATTGGGTGTTGACTCGCCTTTAGAGCTGAGGATGGAGCCAGAAAGAAACTTGCGGAAGACGGGTCTAATAATGGGAAGGCAGGCTAAAAGGTTAGTACAGGAAATAAAGTACTTTCGGGAGACTTACAAGAGATGATGGCCAAGTAAGATTCTACGCCAGCCCAGATGATGACACCTCGAATATCTCTTGCCATCTCGGTTGTATTGGGGTTGAGAGTGAATGCTTCATACAGAACGATAATTGAAGCGACACAGACACTAGAAAGGTCAGTTATGTACTCATAAACAGGCAGACAACTTACAAAATACCAAACATAAACATGGCAACGACGGCAATCTTTTGGCCGGTGCGAAGTTTGAGACTCTTGACTTGGAAAACAGGCAACGAAAGAACAGCAACTTCGAGCATGAGATGAACCAGAGTCGTGCCAAACATGAATTTGGCAGGATCAACTTTACAAATAGCGTTCTTGATGGTGTGCTTCCAGTACGCTTCCACCGGAACACAGTGAAAGATGGTCATAAAGGTACGGATGGTGAGCCAGATGACGGTGCTGCCCTGGAGGATGTAGATTCCGATCCTCATCTTGGCAACACTTCCAAATAGACGCCAGTAGAAGCCAAGGATGGCCAGTTTGGAGAATCCGAGTGATGTTGCGTAGAGGAGCTCGGCCATGAAAAGACCGAACCGAGCGTATTCGTCGACCCTGCCCTCTTCTAGGGGTAATTCCTCCTTGATGTGTCCAAGACCCATGGCAATAGCCCCTAAACGAGTAAGCATATGAATGCCTGGTAGGGGTTAGATACTTACAATAAACAGCAAAGCTAAAGTACAAAGCGGCAGCAACCTTGGACAGTCAGTAAAGGTCAAGATTTGATTATAAGATAACTCACCCATGAAGTCATGGCAAAGTAATCATCCCACCACAAGTTCACGTGCGTAATCTTTCGAGAGAAGAGACGACAGATGATCAAAATGGTAGCGACACCAAAGGTGATGAACTGGGAGCACATAACACCAGCATCTGGGGCGAAAGTCTTTGCAGCCATGATGGGCCACGTTCAAACAGTAAAGAAAGAAATGTATCCGTAGTCGGCTTGTAATAAAGCCAAACAAAGATTACCAGTATGACTGGCTTCACATGTCAAGTGTGACGAAAGAGAGGTTCCACTGGGACTGGGACCCTGTGTCTATATAGCCTTTTCCTGCAAGGTAGACGGGATAAAGCCTGTAGGCTGATAAACCCAGGATCGACGATGATTTGCGTGCTATTGCAAGGAGACAGGGGTTTAGAGAAATACAACTGCCGCTGAACTGAATCAAGTTGAGCTGCAGGCAGACGAGCTAAGAGAGACAATGTAGCAATGAGATGAAGATCAAAAGTCCGCGTCTGGGGAACCCCGGATTAGAAGCCCACCGCCAGGTACCTAGATGACGGAGCTCGTATTTTATTGGTTGCATGGCAAGTTCCTTGCGTCTCATCATCTCTTGTGTCATTCTGTAAATAGAGTGGTCTCCTTTAGGCAAGGCTTTCGTGATGTGGGTGATAAGGATGCAGTCCATGCTCTGTGCAGTGTTGATTTTCGGTGCTTTGGTTAATGCATAACTGGAGATGCCGTGTATCAGTGTTGGGCCAGTACTGCCAAAGTAATTTGACAGGCATCTGGAAACGAGGCGGCAATAACGCTCATACCACAATACCAAGAAACGTTACGGCGAACAGGAAGCCTAATTCAGATAGTTCGAGTAATGTTAGCTTAATTTAACCTGCTGCCAAAAACATGATCTAAAGTCAAACGCCACAACTTGATTCCCTGGGTGACATCTCTAGCTCGTCGACATGAAATTGTGCACTCGAGTCATTTGCCAACGTTCAGCTGGTCCGTGACTTGGCAGCGCCATATATTGAAACGTCCAAGCCTGTTAGTCGGTTTATTCTAGAAAAGATCTGCCATCGTCATCTGTGCTAACATGTTAGCTGCACAGGTTCAGGGTCTGAAATCAGGTTGATTCAAAATAGAGTTTACCTGGGCGAATTTGTTAGTCATGGTAAATTCGCGAACCGTGAGAACCTACTGGGTAGCAGCAAAGTTGACCTCCTGAGTCTCGTAAGTCTTGGGGTGCAAAAATAAATAGCCTAAAGGGTATGGTCTAAGAAGCATAAGCTGACCTACTAATTTCGTCACTTATGCTTCCAGCGACCAATTTTCTGATACCCTGAGAATTTCGCCAGCACAGCCTGCCGCTCGGTCCCTATCTTTGCCCTTGCAAGTTGTGATGATCGCAGCTGAAGGGCTGCAGATCTTCAGAGTTTTGACTCAAGGCGAACCGAAAACCCCGACTTCCCCATTCTCTACCAACTTTGTGGTATCACCGTTGCAAGCGAAAATCATGGTCCACCTTGTAGCCCACTCACCTGCGTACTTGACAGCTTCTGGAGACAAGAGACTCCATCAAACAACCGCGTAATTGGTTTAGTGGTAAAATTCTCCGTTGCCATCAAGTTCCCGCCGGAACACGAAGCTCGGGGAGCCCTGGGTTCGATTCCCAGATTACGCATTTGAAGGGTCGTGAGGCCTGTCACCTCTTTTTGCTCTGCTATTCTGGTTTGGTTGAAGCTTCGTCTTAAGGATCCAGCGTTCCGATACATCCTACTCGAAGCTTCGACCAAACCAGAATAGCAGAGCAAAAAGCCTTACGGGGTGTTCGTCGTTCCATTTAGTGCCTGCCGGCTTCTGAAGCTAACACGATCGGCATGTCAAGGGTCCCTGGCAGTTGGTCTAGGACTGCTAGGGTGGCGTCTGTGCCTCACTGCCTCTCGACATCTCCTTTCTCTCGAAGTGTGGTTGGGTGGAAAAGTCCCTTGATGAATCGATGCCCGACCTTGGTGTTTTAACTTTGAACAAGTCAGGGATGAGTTGGGATGGTAAGGATAATGACCAGCCAGTTGTAAGGATAGTGATCAGCCAGTTGATCGGGAGCGTCCCGAAAAGGGTTCTTTAATCAAATGGCACGCAGGGGAATCTGCGGTAGATGGAATGCGACACATCGTTCTGAATCGTGTCAAGGCACTAGAAGAATCACAGATGATATGATTTATGTAAGTGATAAGATGACATGACACGGGAAATGAATGAGGCGGACGTTGAACTCAACTGCCGAGTCACGTGCACGTTCCTTCCTCAGACGCGACAGTTTTGTTCAAAGGAAGGTAGCACCGGTAGCACCAGAAGTTGGCCTCAAGGTTTAGGAAAATTAAATCATAAGGCCTTGTCTAAACAGGATAAACTACTACTAATATCGTCTCTTCTCAATGCCCCAAGGACAGTAATTAACGAGTGCAACTCTTTGTTTCTTTACACCAATGCTGTTTAGTTGTTTTGTCCCTTTGCACATTTGCTCCTGCAGAGTAACAAGGGCCGAGCCGATTATTAAACTATTGGCTTCCGGCATCTCTCCGATTGAAATCATGTCGTAAAAGGCTGACCGATGACGACGAGATTCAAAATGTCGGCGTTTGGCACGCCAAGAAGGCGTACGTGTTTCATTCATTGAAAGAAACAAGTCGAGGAAATAAAAATAGTACGAGATGCCACTATTTCCTTGATATTTTCCCGATTCAGTGGAGCTGAACTCGTTCCTGGCCCTGTCGCGTCTTGCATCAGCGCTGTCAACCCCGGATTTACGTAACCTACGTCATATCCGGTTACACCTATACAAGGGATGCAGCGGCACTGACGGGAGCAAACAACAGCTCACCTGTTGCTATTCTTTCTCATTCAACTGTATCTCTTTTGCCAGAATATTATCGAAATGGTGGGAAAACGACAATGGAATATAAATCAAGGCCCTGGCCCTCGTCATCGAGGTCAACATGTTGGTGAGGAAGCACGCCCTCAATATGACGACGGTCCTCGCGATCTCGAAACTGGTCGGTACTCCTACAATGGAGCCAGCAAAGATTCACGACCGAAGCCTCGTATCATAAAGTTCCAGGATGCCGCTCGAACAGCTCTCGAGGATGCTCGTCGCGGCGAGATCAAGCGCGCTCTTTTACACGGCATCGATCGATCGGGCCTGGAAAAGTATCGCAAGTCGGACGACGAGCTAAAAGCGATCAATAATAAAAAGCTCCGCTATTTTTACGAACAACAGAATGAGCGGCTGAATGATTGGTTGGAGGTGGATGCGGTGGTGATGGCCATCGCGGATGACGTTCTCGAGTCGATGAACCCAGACCCCGATCATGACGGTGATCAAGAGCGCGGTGGAGGAATTCAACGCGTCGAAGGAAATATTGGAGAGCTACTACCTGACGATGAAAAGGAAAAGCGACGAAAAGCGGCCAGAAAGGCAAACTGGGCTATCAATATTAATGTGATAGCCAACATTCTTCTTCTGGCTGGTAAAACATTTGCCGTGTTCACCACAGGGTCTCTCTCGCTGGTGGCATCGCTTGTAGACTCGGCTCTCGATCTCCTCTGCACGTTGATTGTCTGGTCCACCAGTCGGCTTGTCCTCTGGAGGTTGCATGCCATGCAGCGCCGATTTCCAGTCGGTAAACGACGTCTCGAGCCGCTGGGTATCCTGGTGTTTTCCATCATCATGGTCATTTCCTTCCTGCAGATCCTCCAAGAGTCTGTTTCGCGATTGGTGCCTCCGCATGCCGAAGCTGAGGTTCTTAGCTGGACCGCTATTGCTTCTCTGCTGTCGACGATCGTCCTCAAAGGGGCTATCGGCCTTGGATGTCGACCTATCAAGTCAACACAGGTGCAAGCTCTGGTGCAAGATTGCAAAACGGACGTCATCTTCAACACTCTCTCGCTGTTGTTCCCTTTTATCGGATATCGTGCCAACATCTGGTGGCTCGATCCAGCAGGCGCCGGTTTATTGTCTCTCTTCATCATTTACGACTGGGGCCATACCTGCTTCGAAAATGTGGCGCGCCTCTCTGGTGAGGCAGCAAACGACCACACCCTCAAGAAACTCATCTACCTCGCATACCGCTTCGCACCTGTTGTAGCGGGCTTCAAGAACGTAACAGCGTACCACGCAGGCGATGGTGTCTGGGTCGAATTCGACTTGTTGCTTGATGAAAAGACTCCATTGAACAGATCGCACGATATTGCAGAGACGTTGCAGTATTGTGCTGAGGGTCTGGGCGAGGTGGATAGAGCGTTTGTGACGACGGATTATTCAGTTTCAGGACCTTTGGGACACGCAACAGATTCGGAGTGGAATCATTAGAAGTGATAGGGGGCGGTGTATTATAGGTAAAAGTCTCTTGGTTTCTAGGTTGGTTATGTCATAGGTCACTCACAAGATGTTCATAGGTTGTAAAGGTTGGTGTGGCTGAAATGCCAAGTGGGCCAAGTCTGAATAGCTTCATCAACAAAGGTCACAAGACATGTTGAATGTAAATAAATTACTCAGTGTACTCTGTATTGGATCATTCGAGCATTTCCTTCTGTTTATTTTATCTAGTCATGCCCTTGTATGGTCTATGACTGTGACTGAAGTTGTTCAATCTCCATCGAGTTGCCTTTATGTCAAGTACCTGCCTGTCTAGGCGCATTCTTGGTGTTGAATCGTAAACCTGTTTTCTCACGCTCTCAATCGACTTAGTAATCATGATTATCTTATCAATAAAAGACTTCCTCTGGGGTTGTCATGATGATAGTGGACCTTGAATGAATACACCTTGATGTCCTCATGATGAAATGTCCATCAAGGTACAGGTCAATACACCAACGCGATAGCTCAACTGAAGCCATCAACAAAATAACGATCTCAAGATGTCTACAAGGGTTCTCATGGAGGGGGAAGTGCGTTCATGGTTGAGGACGCTCTCTGAGGGCATGCTTTATAACCCAGCATCTCCCCCGTTCTCATCTTGTTCCTGATCCACCATCAAAATGACTTCATTACAAACCGAAAACGAAATCTATGATGTCCTCATCATCGGTGCAGGCCCCTGTGGTCTCGCCATCTCTGCTCGTCTCCACGAACACACACCCGCCGCACTCTTCACAGATGAAGAACACCGTCGCTTCCACTGGATCTCCAAATATGGCAACAAAATGCCCCTGAAGCACGTCCGAAGCGGTAAAATCACAGCTGCCAAGTCCCCCGTCCAAAAGCCGCAGTACAGGATGCTCGTGCTGGACGCTGACAGTGATACCTGGATGGGTCGCTGGAACAGACTCTTCAAGATGTACGACATTTCACATCTGAGGAGTCCTATGCTTTGGCATGTTGATCCGCTTGATCGTGATGCCTTGCTTGCGCATGCGTACGCGAATGATAGAGAGGATGAACTCATTGAGATTCGGAATTGTGTGGGTAAGGAGGTCAGCAAACATGGGAGAAAGAAGAATGGTCAACGAGCTTGTGGCAGAAGGTCGGTCATTCCGGTCAAATGTTTTACGCATACTAACAAGACATAGACAAGAAGCTCGTGTTGACATCAACGTGAGAGAGCGCAACGACTACTACAACCCTTCAACAGCTCTCTTCTGCGATCATTGCGAAAAGGTGGCTGCTCGGTATAGACTCGGCCCAGACATGATCCGCAAAGAAGCTCTTGAGCATCTAGACTACAGAGAAGTCAAGGGTGTCTCCATAGATGGGGAGAAGATCTTCACTGTGACATCCAACAAAGTCCGTCGCTATGCTCGTACAGTAGTTTTAGCTGTCGGTCCCGCCAACGTGGCCAAGATTCCACACATTCCCTCCATGCCTGACACTGGGAAGCTCCCTCAGACATGTCACAGCATGCACATTACAGAGTTTCCCGATCCTCTTGTGAAACAGAGAATTGCTGCACGTCGAGAGACGAATATTCTTGTCGTGGGCGGCGGCCTGACGTCTGCGCAGTTGACGGATCTGGCTATTCGTAAAGGCGTCACCAAAGTATGGCATGTCATGCGTGGGCCTCTACGCATCAAGCACTTTGACGTTTCGCTCGATTGGATGGGCAAGTTCAAGAACGCCAAGCAAGCACAGTTCTACTATGCTGATTCTGACGACGAGAGGATTGAGATGATCAAGGAGGCTAGAGGTGGAGGAAGCATCACTCCAGTGTTTCACAAACGCCTCAAGAAACATCTCGCCACCAAGAAACTGGAACTCTTCACAGAAACAAACCTCGTGGATGCATCTTTCGACGCAGAGAGCGGTACATGGACTGTTCAGACGAACCCGCCTGTTGAGATGCCAGCCATGGATTACATGTACTTTGCAACAGGCATCCAAACAGACTTCTCCTCTCTTCCGTATCTGCAGACTATCTTGCAAAAACATCCTATCGAAGGACGAGGTGGTTTTCCCTGCATCAACAACGACCTCATGTGGAATGACGAGGTCCCGCTGTTCATGATGGGAAGACTCGCAGCACTGCGTCTCGGGCCCGCAGCGCCGAATCTTGGTGGTGCACAAGTCGGTGCTGAGAGAGTTGCATGGGCAATAGAAGATCGATTCCCAAGACCTGGTGAGGTTGAAGCGGTGGAGGATCACAGGAAGGGATATTTGTCAGGGCATGGAAACATGTACAGCTCTTT